GATCGTCAGCTTTGAAATATGGCTGCCCTGTGTTTTCCGGACCCATGCTTCACAGGGCAGCCATTTTTACAGCTGATCGGCACTCACAAAATGGCTTCCCTATGGGCGATCTTTGGTGGACAATGAGGTATTTTCCCCATTGGAATGCACTAAACTGGGTTTCAATGCATTCCAATGGGGAAAGGGTTTTCGAATGACGACAATTTTGCTAAACAGCTATTTCTATGGGACAGATTATCGTTGTCATGCAGGGCACCACTGTATTTGCATCGTTGTCATGCAGGGCACCACTGTATTTGAGTACAGTTCTGGTCGCTGCACATCAAAAATGACATAGTGGAACTGGAAAAGGTGCAGGAGAGACTCAAATGATGACTGGGTTGGGGCACCTCCCTTATGAGGAAAGGCTACAGCGTTTTGGACTCTTTAGAGAAAAGGCACCTGAGAGGGGACATGATTGAAACGTATAAAATTATGCAGGGGGTGGATAAAGTGGATCGAGGGAAGCTCTTCTCCCTCACATAATACTAGAACCAGGGGACATCCACTCAAATTGAGTGTTGGGAGAGTGAAGACAAAAGAAAATCTTTCTTTACCCAGCGTGTTGTTAGTCTGTGGAACTCCTTGCTACAGGATGTGGTGACGGCATCTGGCCTAGATGCCTTTAAAGGGGATTGGACAGATTTCTGTTGGAAACTCCATCGGAGCTTACAAGCCATGATGGGGATGTACAATCTCCAGGCTTAGAAGGAAGGTACTTCAAAATGCCAGATGCAAGGAAGTGGTATCAGGAGACACGTATCTAGTTGTCTCGTGTGCTCTCAGAGGCATCTGGTGGGGCCACTGTGAGATACAGGAAGCTAGATTTGATGGGCCCTTGGCCTGATCCAGCAGGGCTCTTCTTAAGTTCTTATTAACTACTGAACTGCATTCAAAATGTCTGATATATATAAAAAAAAGACAAAACACACACACAAAACCCAGAATTCCCTAATATTCAAATTATCATTAAAATATTTAGTTTTTCAAATAAAACAGAGTGGCATCTGGTTGTTCAATAGATCCCTTTATTATTTCATGACTTGTGTAAAGGTTTAAGAAACAATCTCTCTTATTTTCTACATAACTTTCCCAGTCTGGGTGCTTCCAGATTTTGTGGCTTCCAATTTACAAAACAAACTTTTCATACGTACAAGTCATTGCTTTTTGAAAAAATTGTATACAGATTTTTTTAAAGTAGAAAAATAACATCCAAGGGAAGACTGTAGCCATGAAGCATACAAAAGTTAGGCAACAGAAAAATTATGGCTTTACACCAGCATAATGTGTCAGAGAACAACTGAAGACACTTTTTGTTAGAAAGGCACTTTTTATTTTTGCACTACACTGCTGTGTTTTCCATCAAGTTTCCACCATGTCACAATAATTAAAATAATGGTTTAGAAGGCAGTTTTAATGAGGAAAAGAAATAGTTAAAAATATAGAGATACCACAAATTAATACAAACTTTTAAAATAGAATTTTTGGTCCTTTTGTAAAATAGGCAACAGCATTCAGGCAATAGTGATTCATTCTTCCCAATACTTAAAGGACATTTAAGTCTTTCCTTCCAGTGTGTTCATACTTCAGTTCATCAAAATATACATACAACTTGTGAAACTGAGCAAGGTTCTGTTTTGGCTGTGCAAGGGTAAACTCAGAATGATGGTTCTTGCTACCCATGGATCTATAATTCTGTATCCCTGTATCTAGACGGTTGTCCATAGTATCCACGTTTAGACTGGTCTGACAGTTGTCGGCGATAGTCCTCTTCTTCTGCATCGCTGCCATAGCTTCCTTGTTTATCTAGATAAGATCGAGCAGGTGGTTTCTGAGGCTCAGGCCTGGAACTAACATCAAAACACACTAAATTAAAATGTATCGGCTAATACTGAAAAATACAGGATCCCAGGCAGGTCTACAGTCAAACTGAAGGTAGTCTTATCACAACTTTCAAGGCTGATTGGATTTTAATCTTAGAACAAGGACCAAGTATTACTCATCCCAATTTATATAAGAAATGCATACAACTTATTGTCAACAGCTGTGACCCTAAAAAAACAAGCAAACCATGCAACAAGAATGCCTAAAATTTTTTTTCTGTAAACTTCAATATATCCAGCACACATACTAGTATCGTATTTAACTTTTGACTCCTATGGAGAAAATCAAAGTGTTAATCCAACACCGTAGAGTATTACAAATGTTAAGATTATGTCTTTACATTATTTTAAGTATACAGCATTAAAACATAAAATGTATTCCCCTGTGTGTGAGAGAAAGTAAGTGAGAGAGATCAACATTTTTTAATTTGATCAATGCTGTCAAGACTGATGATCATAAATTTCATACTAGCCAAATAATAAATCTGCCATTTCACAGGACTTGCATCCAGTGATATGCGCATGAGGCTACAACTTAAATTTGTGTCTGTGTCTCCATGAGAGAGATCTGCCTGCTTCTCTCTCTCTTCATTTTTACTAACTGCCTTATTTACTAATTTTGTTATTTACTTCCCATTCCAGGCTACTGTAGTGTTTTATTCTCTGTGGGGTTCTCACCACAAAAAATAGGTAGCACAACATATTGCTGGACATATTACTTTTCACAAAGAAAGGAGGCAAGTTTTAATCATTTCCTGCTGACTTTCCTATTTTTAACAGCATAATTACAATGCTAATGAACTACACACAATGTTCTTAACTTGTGGTCTGTGGACACCCAGGGGGCTTGCTAATGAACTACACACAATGTTCTTAACCTGTGGTCTGTGGACACCCAGGGGGCCGCAATGTCCTCACAGGGGATCCATGAAGACTTGAAGAAATATTAGGATCTTTTAAAATAGGAAGGAAGGAAGGAACAAAGGAACAAAATCTTAATTTTCCCTTGCTTGTTCGTGTAAAACTTAGCTTTTCAAAACTACCGCCTTTATTAAAAAAGAAACAAAAATAAAAATTGGTTCTGAAAATAACTGTTTGATAGCAAATAACTGTTTGATATTTCTGTACATGGTAAGAACATGCAAGTGAATAACTGAAAGACCACACGTGACATTTCTTTCTACTGTGCAGGCCGTCAGAAGCTGCAGGAAGAGAGATTTGGAGTCAGTGTCAGTGGAGTGAATGTCCAGACAGACTTCATGATTGTGTTTCTTCTTTGATTTCTACTAATAAAACTTATTGGTTATTATTGGGTAAAGTGACTTTTTGATATTATTGCAGTGAATTTTGTAACAATACGTTCTGGCTGAGTCTCAGACTGGATCACCAGCTGAATCTGAAATGTAAATGAATTGTTGATGTTGATGGGGGTGCATCCTGTTTAAAGCAAAATGAAGCTTCTTCTAGACATCTTAACAAGTGTCATCATTACAGCAAGGAATATCTGTCAATTGGCTTCACATGTACAGGTCTCAAAGACAAGTAACTACCACAGTGTGTGTTTCGTTACAAGATATTGTACAACAAGGCCATGAAACCATCAAAACTGCAAAGACAACTCAACACTAAACATAAAGAACATACCACAAAGACCATAAATTTTTTCAAAAGTAAGGAGGATGAGCTTTGGGAAAGTAAGAAAATTATTTTAATTTTTTTAAAATTTTCCAAACAAATATATCAATAAAAAACAATACAGAATACTGACTAACAATCTAAAACCCAGTGCATCCCCATACCCAGGGGACCCTTTGGAGTAATTCTTTTATTATGAACCTCTTTTCCAAAATTGTATTGATTGCTGCTTAGAGGCTTTCCCCTTTCCTTTCACTAATACAAATTCAATAAATCTACACAGAATATCTGGAACAATGTAGTTGAGGCAAAAAAACAAAAGGAATTACTGACCACCCAATCAAGGAGAGGATGTGGATGAAATTTTAAAAACAACAACATATTGTAAGGATTTAAAAGAGACAGGATGTAGTAGTGATGGGAGATTTCAGTTATCCTGATATTTGTATTCGCGAAGGCTTTCACGGCCGGGATCCAATGGTTGTTGTGGGTTTTTCGGGCTTCTTGGCCGTGTTCTGAAAGTGGTTCTTCCTACAAAACACGGCCAGGAAGCCCGAAAAACCCACAACAACCATACTATCCTGATATTTATGGGAGACAATTTCTGCCAAGTATGACCCTTCCAAGAAATTCCTGGCTTGTGTGGCTGATAATTTTCTCCTACAAACAGTAGAGAAAGAAATGAGAGGACTAATTACTCTTGACTTGATTGCAACCAATAGAGATGACTTTGGAGGAAGTGGCAGTAAAGGGAACTCTGGGTGAGAGTGGCCATGTTCTACTAGAATTCTTGATTTCAAAAGAAACCAAAGCAGAGTGTAGCCAATTTTAATGAACTACAAACAAGGATAAGTAAGGTCCCATTATAGGAATCCATGAACGAGAAGGATCTTGGAGTCACAGTAAATCACAAGCTGAATATGAGTCAACAGTGTAATGTGGCTACAAAAAAGACAAATGCTATTTTAGGATGCATTAACAGAAGTATAGTCTCCAAATCCTATGAGGTACTAGTTGCCCTCTATTCGTCACTGGTGAGGCCTCACCTTGAGTATTGTGTCCTGTTCTGGACACTGCCCTTCAAGAAGGATGCCAACAAATTGGAACAAGTTCAGAGGAGGGCGACAAGGATAATCAGGGGGCTGGAAACCAAGCCCTGTGAGGAAAGACTGAAATAGCTTGGTATGTTTAGTCTTGAGAAAAAAAGACTGAGAGGGGATATGATTGCACTTTTTATTACTTGAAAGGCTATCATACAGAGGAGAGATGGGATCTCTTCTAGATAATTCCCAAGTGCAGGACATGCAACAATGGGTTCAAGTTACATTGGAGGCATTTAAGAGAAATTTAGAGAACCACCTGGCAGATATCCTTTTTTTTCCCTGCACTGAGCAGGTAGTTGGACTTGATGGCCTTATAGGCCCCTTCCAACTTCACAATTCTATGATTCTTAAGTAGAGTAGGAAGAAAGTGAACAAAATACCTACCTACTTAAAGGTTTATTATAGCTGAATGATAGGACAACCCAGTGACAATGCTAAAATGTGGGGTTTGTGGAAAGGTGTGGAGGCAGGGAAAAGCTAAAAAGGGAACTACATATATGGTTATGGATACAGAATTTTCTTAATACATAAGAAAATAATGCAAAATGGTGAGCAGTTTAAGGGGGGGAAACAAAGAAGACAAAAATATTGTGGGACCTTAAAGACTAATTGCTATGTTTTAATGTGAGCATTTGCAGACAAGTCCACTTCCTCATGCAGAAATCTCCCTCTTGAAGCTGCCACAACTTTTTTGTCTTCTTTATTTTTAATTTTCCTTTGATTTAAGGAAATGGAAGATCTTTGGTCACCAAGGATGAACAGAATTAGAAGAGAAGAGGTTTGGGGGCAGAGACATAAGAAACAGCAGTGCTCAAAAGGCTACAGACAACATATATGAGCACAAGGAGTTGGCATTGGATAGCTGAATAGAGCTAGAAAGCTGGGGAAGAGATCTGACAATGGATACCATCTGGGTGGTACAAAACATCTAGTACTGTAAAATACATGAGTTTATTCACCTGTAAAGTCTGCAATTAAACATGAAGATCTATCTGCTTTTAATGGATGTTTTTTCTTTTTATAGCAAATACTTTCTCTACCAGTTTGCTTGTGGATCTCTGTAAAGATGGAACCATCTTACAATTTTGAAGTTGTTTAGTTCAGTGGCAACATAATTTTGGGCTTTTATTCAAAAGATACAGTAGTACCTAAGAAGACCATGAAAAAGTAATAATTTTACCTGGCGGTCTGGGACCAGTTCTGCTCCGGCTTTTGTGTTTTGATTGGGACAGCATAAATATCTGGGTGTTTCTGAGCAATTTCCACCTAAAGAAAGAAGGAAAGGAAATACATGAGCATCAGAACATTTTTCAAAGTCTCTCTTAAAAATAAATGGGTGGTTGACCCCAATGCTTTTTCCTACAGTGAGATGATAACACGCTCCTCTTCTGTACTTTACTGGCAATCACAATATTCAAAAGGCATACAAAGTAGCAGAGAGCAAAGCTATTTATGCATTGCTGCCAGCAATGAAGAATTGCAGGTAGATAAAAACTATGGAAGAACGTACATACTTCAAATTTCAGATAAAATTATTAGGTTCTGAAAATCTGAAGGTAGGCATGAGACTTTTATATTTATGCAAAGGGGCATAGATTTCAAAAAGGCTGAGAAACATTGTTTTATGCAAATTGCTACAGTAGATAGAGGGCAAACAACCAAACTTTAAAAAAAAAAAACCCACCTCATCTAATCAGATTATCTAATGCACCGCCTTATTGAAAAGTAATATTCTTATAAACATGTAACAATGCAAAAGAAACTGAGATTCTTTTTATACCCTGGCATTTTGTGCTTCTTGTAGTTCTTGCATTCTCTGTAGTCGCGCCTTATGGTCCATTTTCTCAAATATTTTAACTTTCCCCAACACAGATTTTGGTGTGGTCTCTTGTTCATCTACACTTTCTTGTATTTTCTCCTCTAACTCTGTCGGCAGAATGGCTGGCTGAGAGGATTTCAATATAGGGCGCCCAAAAGCAGGTTTGATGGCTATAGGAGGAGGAGCTACTTTAGTTGGTACTCCAGCGTATTCAGTGTTGACAGCACTGGGACTCTTTGTTCTGGGTTCATAATTCTTAGGGGCATCAAATGACTCTTCTTTACTTAACAGCTTACCCTTTAACATAAAAGCAAAAGTAAACGTTAGCACTTAACACAGAGAAGGCAAATTCAGTCTAGAAGTGACCAGTCAGAAGATGTTGGTTAATATGGTGTGTAAAGGCTACCCTACACTGATGTTTTTAGTAAAGGGGATAAAGGCAGATAAGGTATAGCTGAACTTCTCCCTACCTCTAGGATGAAAATTTGCAGCTGCAAATGAAACAAGGAATATCTTAAGCTACTGGGGGAGAAAAAAAATGATTTTAGAAAAAAGGATGAAACATTACTCATTCCAATTAGTAATGGTAGTTCTCCTCTCACTTTACCTTGGGGGGCTCAGGCTTGAATGCTGGAGGTGGGCTGGGATCTCTCAGAACTTCCCTGCTACCAGCTCTTCTCATCTGAGTTCTTGGTTCTGGGCTGGATTTCCTTAAGTTCTACAGACAAGCAACAGCAGCTCATTAGACATACATTCACATAGTTCCTGACATATGTGAAGTACAGTTGCAACTTCTCTTCTGCTGCCAAATAAACAAAATAAAAAAATCAGGAGGCTTTTCATTTGTTTGTTTGGCTGGTGCCACCTTTTAAAGAAACAAATTAAAAGTAATGACTTTGTCACTGTTACTGCTTTGCTAGTATGTGGTGTGTGTTTCTGCTAGATCACATAGCATTTGGAACATTCCTTCCTGACAGTCTGCTCCTTGTGCAACTGCATACGGTAAAACATGGGCAAAGTCCCCTCGTCTGTTGCATTTTTAGAAAGAAGTGACTTTAACAAACTTCTCATGAACTATTCTTAGAAGACAACAAGCTACAATTGGGTTCACATTCTCTACAGATGTGACAAGGCCTGAATGTTAGTTTCTTCTCATGGCTGTCCTGTTGTGGGAAGTTAAGAAGCAGGGAACACTCCTCTTTCGACAATGCAACAAGACCGTACTAATTCACCACTTGTGTCCCATTCATTAAGTACAGTGGTGCCTCGCTTAACGGGCACCTCATTTAACGACGAATCCGCATAGTGATGAATTTTTTGCGATCGCTTTTGCAATTGCATTGCGATGATTTAGATAGGGAAAAATCGCTTTGCGATGATCGGTACCCTGTTTCGCATACCGATCATCGCATAGCGATGATTTTCCAACAGCTGATCGGTGGTTCCAAAATGGGCGCCGGGTAAAAAAATGGGCGCCCGCTGCGTTTTCACCCGGATTCCTCACTTACCAGGCATCGAAAATGGCGGCCGTATGGAGGATTTTCACTTAAAGGTGAGTTTAAAGCCGATAGGAACACATTGAAGGGATTTCAATGCATTCCTACGTGCTTTTTAAATCCGCATAGCGACAAAATCGATTTGCAGCAATTTTTGTTGCATGGATTATCGTCGCTATGCGGGGCACCACTGTATACTATTTTTTTTCTCCTAGGAATCACCTTATCATCAATTTTACAACCTAATGTTTTGAGAGAAAAAGGGGAAAAATTATTCTGACTTCTTACCTCCTCATGCTGTACAGGTTCAGAGGACCGACTAATGGAAGACACTCTTGGCTCATAAGATGGCTCATCCAGTTCATTATCTGTATACGCTCCACCTTCTCCATCAGTGTCTTCTGGGTCACTGATTAGTCGGCTATCACAGCTCAGATAGTCGGCACCCATAGCTGTTAAGTATGACATACGGTCTTCAATGTCATCATCCATTCCTTCTGGCTACAAAAATGATTTTATGAAGAAATTATGCTTTGTCACATCAATGCTCATCAGAAGTAACATTATAAGATACAGAAGAAAATATCAATATATAAGATTGTATGGTCATTAAAAAGTACTTTTAGCACTCAATGTTCATTAAGTCTAGTAACGGGATATAATGGAAGATTTTTTCCCTTCAGTTTTTATTTCCATTATAAAAATTTCAATCATTTTTTTCAGTACGTTACATAGCTGCTATCCCAGCTATCTCTGGGAAATGTTGAATGAAATTCATGATTTTCTACAATGTATGAATGGGAAAATTTTCTGTGTATATAATGGATAATCATCTTGTTTAAATGCAGCCTTTCTTCTCAGGAGGACAGCACACAAGAATAATAATTTTTTAAAAAGCATTGGTTCACGCACCTTTCCTTCTGAAACCCACACTGCTTCATTCTGTTGTTGCTGTACTGTATCTTTGAGACTTCCATACCAACCGTCATGAGCGGAGTTTAAATCAATGGTAGCTGCAGAGATGAAAAACAATGAATTTTTGGGTGGGGAAAAGGTGCTTTCTCCCAAGTACTGGGGCATCTCACCGGTTACCTACTTAGCCCAGCCATCCTTGGAAAAAATACCAAAGTATTGACAATAATTGTTCAACAATAGGGCAGCGCCTAATCACTGTAAATGACATTTAGAAATAAGGTGCACACATGCACAAACATCAGTTTTAGCATAGAACTCTGCCTTCCAAAGTGCAACTTTCAAGTTTTTTTTTCAAAAATAAAACAAATTAAAATTCAGTAGTGTGGGGCCATGGGGGTTTATGGATCTTTTTACTGATCTTGGGAAAACATGGTTGTTTATACTGCTGTCTCCTGGCAAGATGGAGCAACTGAGCCCACTGATTTTTAATTGCACCTTAAAATAATTACAGTAGTTTGCATGTGTTGGACAAAACCTGTTGTCAATATTTAGGGAAAGCTTCTTGTATAGGAATGGAGAAGGCAGAAAAAGAGTTGCAAGGTGACCACCAAATTTTAAACACAAGGGTTAGACAACCAAGAGAATTCCAACTCAACACCCCCCCCCCAATTTATTTCACTAAAATCTGGAGGGAGGGAACTTTAAATTGCATATTGTTCAGGGAAAATATGAGAATTTTCAGGAATCATATTAAATTCATTCTATGACTATATATGCTTCATAGAAAATGAAACCAGATGCCTATTTTCACCTACCTGTAAAAAGATGCTGACAAGTCTTCTTCAGCTTATTTGCTTGATCATAAAGCTTCCGCGAACTCTTGCTGGATGTGGGCATTAGCCTGTGACGCATGATTTTCACACCCTGTCTGCTGTCCGGATTGAAAAACACTACAATTGGGAACCACTGGGTGTAATTTAACAGATCCACAGCTTTGGGAGTAACATCCAACAAAGCATGTTTATCCTGTTTTTTTGTGAAACAAAAAATGCAATTATGGAGGTTAGGAATATATGAAGCTGCCTTATGCTGAGCCAAACCCCTTGTCTGCCAAGTCTAGTCTTGTCAACAGTCACTGGAAGAAACTCTCTAGGGTTTTAGGCACTAATCTTCTTCAGCCCTATGTGGTTTTATACTGGTATTACCTAATGGTCTCCCACATGAGCACTAGCCAGACCAATCTTGCTTAGCATCCAGAACCAAATAAAATTTTAATTTACAGAAAAGTACAATAGTTAATCACCTTTATCAGTGCTTCCTGCTTTGCTCTTATGATAACATAAAGCAATGGAAGGGTGAGGGAAAACGTACCTGCTCAATAATTTGCCTCACAGTATTCAAACGCACAACACCTGTGGATTTTTCTGAACCAGCATCTTTTGGTTCCGTTTCTGCAAGAATAAGAGTTTTGTGTCATCATCTCATTACTTTGCTGACAACCATAAAATTTCAGAGATTCATCATTTGCTACCAAATGCAGCTGCCAGATGGTAACTGTGGAGACAGAAAGCCTTTTGGCACCATTTTGATACCAGCTTACTGACTACCAATGAGCTTTTCAGACCCAATAGAAAATATGGATGGTACTTTCAAAACTGGCAGACTTCTAGTCCCACAAATCACCCAGAAACACACACCCTGACAGAATTAAGGAAGTGAAAGCCATCAAAGCAGCAATAATAACTACTACTACAGTGGGGTCTCGACTTACAGACGACCCTACTTACGAACAATTCAACTTACGAACCCGCCCTATAGGGGAATAAGGACTCGACATACGAACTTCCCTCGAGTTACGGACAGGAAAAAAAGTGCCCCCTCCCTCCCCTTAGAGGCTTCTGGAGGGGAAAAAGGGGTCAGAAACTTAAAAATAAATAAAAGAAAGTCACTTACCAGGCCTTGGTAGCCCCCAAACAGCAGGAAAAAGAGCAGGAAACAGCTAAAAACCCACACCAGAAGGGAGCCTGGCAGCCATTTTGTGCTTTTCCCCCGCTCCTGCACCCTCCTCTCCCCACCTATCAGCTGATGGGCTGGCTCTGAAGAGGCTTGGGGAGGCTTGCTCAGCACCTAAAAAGCCTGCCTGTGTGTCTTTGTACTAAAAAATCAGCACAACATGCTTTAAAACATGATTTAAAATTGGCTTCGTTGAAAAAAAAAAGATTTCTAAAGTGCTTTGCAAACTGTTCCCTGCCTTCCTCCTCGTTTCCTGAACCTAAGGGGGGAAAAAAAACAAAAAATATCCCCCTCTAGTGGCAGAAGGCAGAATAGCAGCTTCCCATTAGTTTCTATGGACAGAAAAGAGCAGATACAGATTACCATATTTTTCGCATTATAAGACACACTTTCCCCCACAAAACAGGGGGGTGGATAGTCTGTGCGTCTTATGGAGCGAAGAAAACAGATTATTTTTACTTGTTTTCTTCTCCTAAAAATTTGGTGCGTCTTATGGAGAGGTGGGTCTTATGGCGCAAAAAATATGGGTAAATGGTTTTCAATGCATTCCTATGGGAAATGCAGATTCGACCTAAGAACTTTTCGACTTACAAACTGTCTTCCAATACGGATTACGTTCGTAAGTCGAGACCCCACTGTACTACTACTACTACTACTACTACTACTACTACTACTACTACTACTACTACTACTACTACTACTACTACTACTACCACGCTGCCACATTTCTCCCAACAAGGGACCCAAAGCGGCTCACAACATTAAAATTCACAGAATTAAAAACACAAGTTACCGTATGTTTCCATCTTTAAGATGCCCCCGTGTATAAGACACCCCCTCACTTTTCTAATCCCAAATTAAGAAAACTTAGCTTTGAATATTCAGCCTCTGCACTCAGAATACTTGGAAACTATGAGTCCCTGTTGAATCTGAACACTGCCTAAAGGCTCCACCTCCAACGAGGTGTGCTCCAATTGGTTTGTACAGTATAAGCTGACATCAGTTCCATAAGCCCCATGATTGGAGGCAGCTTGTTTGCAGAGGCAAGGTATGTGCCATTTTGTTCTCTCCTCAGCTTCTGTGTATAAGGTGCGTATAAGGCGACCCTCAATTTTTAGTCTAAAGATTTTAGACTAAAGTACAGTCGTTTTCTAAATAGTTTTTATCCCAGTGCTATAATTGCAATTAATAATGAGCTTAAAGACCACCAATAGTGAATAATTAGTTGGACTGTGTTACTTGGCCTGCGGTGTAGATGTTTCTATTTTTAGTGGGGGACTTTTAGTGGGTGGGGAGTGTTTGGGGAATTTTATGTGTGTGCATGTGTCTGGCACAGAAAAATACGGTAACTATTAAAAGACAAATTAAACAATATAAGAGCAGCCCTCACTTCCTATATGCTATTTCAGTGCCACTTCTTTGACTGATATGAAAAGCACCCTAGTGGACTTTTGGAATCCCAAGGTTCTCTGTAACTCACACTGTAGCTCCATTGTTTCTCTGTACTGTCTAAGGGGTATTGGCACCTGCCCTCCCACAGACCTTTGTGAAATGTGGGAGCAGGATGGAGGTAGATAGGACTGCTCTAACGTCTTCTCATTTGGGGGCTTTCATTCCTATAATTTTATTTATTTGGTTTGGTTTTCTGCTTGGTTTTCTCCTAAATTCTAATTGTCCTGGGAGCAGCCTCTGAGTGAACTGGAAGTCCTCACAGTCTGAAAGTCTCATCCCATATTCAATATGCTGCTGTTAAACCAAAGGCCTTAAAGTAGAGGTGGACCACTTGGGGGGGGGCCCAGATGGTGGTAGAACTTCAAGTCCCATAATACTGTTAGCTAAAGGAACTGCCACCCAACAATATAAATGGGGCCAGAAAATGCCTACCAATCCATTAGATCCAGGTAACCTTGAGGATCACAAGTATCTACATATCACAGAGCTTAGGTTACCAGCAGCGGTAAAGGTCAATTCACCATGAACTGATCAAATGACAAGAACGGAATAGAGGATCGTCTTAGTGGTGCCCAAAACTGTAGAACCTGTTCCCAGTTAATATTTTATCTATCCTCAGCATTCCCTTCCTCTCTTGCTTTTATTACCGCGTTTCCTTAAAAGAACATTTTTTATCTAAACCAGTTTTTTTTAATGCTGAATCCATGTTACGTTTGCACATTCTACCTAATATACCATTCTGCCTAACATTTTATTGCTTCTAATTCTCACATGTGCAATCAAGGCTTAATCTTAAAAAGTAACAAATAAATAAGTGGAATCAAGTTAATGCACTAGATGAATAGGAAGCAAATACTGAATGACTTACTGGCAGCTTGATAAAGGTCAGGCAACTCATTGCACAGCTTCTCCATTGCTATGTCTGCAATGGGACCAAAAATTACCACAGGTCTCCTAAAACCAGCTAAAAACAGAAGAACACATCAGTTAATTTCCATGATTGTAATGTTCAAGACAAAAAGCCATTTGTTTAAGAGTGCAAAATTCAACACTGCACTGTCCATTGAAGATCATTTTCTTTGGGTGGGGTGGCGAGGGTAGAGGATCAAGTGTAAATGTCACTGCCAGAACCCCATGGTTAAAGTGGTTAAACAGCAGTACTGCAGTCAAGCCTTTGCTCACAACCTGATTTCGATCCCAACAGGTTTGTTAGGTGGCTCAAAGCTGACTCGGCTTTCCATCCTTCCAATGTTGGTAAAATGAGTACCAAGCTTGCTAGGGGGCAAAGTGGTGCCTTCATAATTATGTTGTAAACCACCGAGAGAATGCTGTGGCACTATAGGGCAGTATATAAATCAAAACAACAATAATAAAATAGCAACAATGCCCTTCAAAGGTTATTTTCTTGAATGATTCTTTATTATTTTCAAGCCTTGCCAACATCTAGGAGTGTGAGCAAGTCTTTTGAGAATAGATTGTATTCTAGCCTTTGCAACATCAGCAAAAGAAGCTTTGCTTTAAAAACCTGCTGCAACACAATTCAAGAGAAAGAGTGCCATTTTCCAAACAGGAGTAATAAGTCTATTAATGAGCACTTTTAACTTTGAAAAGCTGCTCCACATACTTTTATTTTTAAAAGAAAGACAACATGGGGTCACACTCTGTATTAGAAATGTAAAACACACACACACACACAGAGACATGACATTAGTTTTCACCAGATGCTTTTATATTTTGTACTGCATATATCATTTGGTAATCTACTATATTTACTAGAGTGGACATGTACATAATTGTATTTGAATAGATACAAGTTAATGAATTTATTATTATTATTTTTACAATTCTAAACTAATTTAATCATTCATGTCCATAGCCGAGATGGGTTTTGACAGTCAAAACCTGGTCGTGACCAGAGACAGATTTTGCCACTTGTTCGTAGCCCGAAGCCATAGCTGATTGGCTAAACTTGTTTAAATTTGCCAGAAATAATAGCAGTGGCTGTCTTGCACAAATGAAGGAATCCGGCAACAGTTCTACTCTGCTGTCATTCACTTACCCTCCCGGAGCATAACACGTTCATAGGCTGGAAATTTAGTGCTCACAGATGCAATCGCCGTCAAATCTTCACGGCTCTTCTTCAGATTCTTCTTCATGCCTGATCGCTGCCCACGCATCCGCCAGAAGTCTGCCCTGTCACTGGCGCCGTCTCGCTGAGCATTCTGAACACTGGCCATCTGTTCTGCCCTGAGAGAGAAAGCACTCAGTCTGTTGGTAGAAGTCGGCAAGGGGTGCACATGTGTGGATGCAAAAGCAGCCACATTTATATATATTTGAGATGTATTCTTCTGACAGCAAGATACAAAGGCACCATTCTGGAGGGTGACTGAAATTAAAGTCCCTTAAGCGCTTTCCACGTTAAATGCTATACAGATGACTAACATTTTGGCTGGTAAATGGGTGGCTGTATACATAGCAATAAGAATGGTCACCTGCTGTTGGGGCAGACAGCAGATTGTATAAGAACAGAGGACAACACACTCTCTCCAGAAATAGAAAAAAGAAATACTGTTTCCCCAAAAATAAGACCTAACCTGAAAATAAGCCTCAGTAAAATTTTTCAGGATGCTCGTAATATAAGCCCTACCCCAAAAATAAGCCCCAGTTAAGAGAAACCCCGCCCTCCACTATTGTGCAGCAACCAGAAGATGACATGACTGTATTTGAATAAACATAAGATTGTTGTATATGAAAAAATGAAACATCCCTTGAAAATAAGACCTAATGCGTTTTTGGAGCAAAAATTAATATAAGACCCTGTCTTTATTTTCGGGGAAACAGGGTACTTATATACCAGTGTGATGTGGTGAGGGGTGAGGTTACATGGGTGAATATCTACTGCGATGTGGTGGGTAGAGTGATGGACTAAAGAGACCTTGAATCCCAGCTCAACTATGAAAACTCACTGGGAAGGTGGCAATGGTCAAACCACTCACTTACCTTGAAAGCCTTATTAGGATTGTTATAAGTTGGTTCTAAATTGATTACATGTACCACACAGGAACAAGTAGCCTTCTAGATCTTGTTCATTTGCAAATGCCATCTGCCCTATCAGGACATCCAGTGGTGAAGGATGATCGAAGCTGCATCCTACAGCACTTGGAGGACCACAACTTGCCCATGCTAGATTAAAGTGCTGGACAGGAGCTTTGGAGATCCAGGTTCTGGTCTCCGCCCAGCCTTGATCCTGAATAGAGGACACTTACAGGAGCTTTGGAGATCCAGGTTCTGGTCCCCTCCCAGCCTTGATCCTGAATAGGATAGTGGGCCCATCCACTATCAGTCTGACCTATACTACACATTATAGTTAAGAGGATGAAGTGAGAAGAAGAAGGTCCACTTACACTGCTTGAGATCCCTGGAGGAAATGTGTTATGCAAGTAAATATAGATATTTTGCACATGCTACAAGAGACAGCAAAATCACACCACTGGTACCAACCCCTAGCATCACATGGCTTCATTATGCTCTTCCTGACAGCTATGCATTAATGTGGAGGACATGTTCTGAGCCAGCTCTCACACTGGTGTCAGCTGAAAGACAATTGTGCACACAGGCTTCTCCAGCTTGGATTTTCTTGTTAATGTGCGGATGTTGGGAGTGGTGCCATCACTTCTGCTCCTCTAAGAGTTCTGAGATGTGGCCCCCTTCACAGAGTGGACTGTTGTTCCTAAATGCTGTCTCTCTCTCTCTCTTTCCTCCATAGCAATGAAACACAAACACACATTGGTGAAGGGCACTGGGAGGAAGCAAGTGGCGCATGGGCTGCAGACAATCTTCCAAGGGTACTTTTGCAGCCCCAAAAGCCATCCCAGAGTCTCCCAAGTTTCAAAATGCTGAAAAATAACCCATTTCCATTCCCATAGATGGGCAGGAACAGTGGTTTTCACTTTGGGGGCTGAGGTGGGGAGGGAAGGCTCCAACCCACAAGAAAGGGGGGTGGGGTGGATTAAAAACAACTGGCTGAAAATAACCATTTCCAAACTCAACGAGTCCTGTAATGGGACCGGGGCAAAAATGTGGTTCCCAATCCTCTGGAGATCACTCACCTTTATGTAGGACCAGAAAAAGAGTACAGCTCAAGGACACCAACGGGGTAGAGGTAAAAGGCACTCCCTACCCTGCTGATCCTAGCAACTGAAAAATCAGCACTGCATCCTCTTTCTTGCATACCCGATCTGATCTGCAGCAGACAAAGTTCTTATCGATTGGACCAGAGAAAGAGACAGCAACATCTGAGGGGAGAACTGGACATTTACACAAGTGTAACATACCTGCTTTTATTGGGTATTAGGCCCTTCTCCAATTCACTATCAATCCTCACAGCCAGCCAGTGACCCAGTTTTCCATCATACAGTGTGTCAACAACTCTGAAGACCTCCCCTCTGATGAAGGCTAAGCTCTGTGGTGTTTCCTTCTCACATTCAAAATGGGTCCTTATGAAGAAAGAATCTCCTCTGCCACAGGCCATTATGTCTCTATAAACTAGGGGAAGAGAAAGAATGACCAGAAGTCATTTAATTGTTTTTTTCAGTTGGTTAGTTTGTCATCAGAGTTTGAGAAAATTTGCCTAAGGAGTTAGTTATTAGTTGTAAAATATAAAAGTAACTTGCTTCCTGGTAGGATCTACAGGGTTTCAATTATGTAGTTGTTGTTAAAAGTCTGAATACTACAAGCTGCTGGCCCATAAACGCACTTTCCTCCTAACTACCTCAATGGCACCTAATCTCCCCAAATAAATGTACAAAACACAGCACCAGTCAGCACTTGAACCATGTGAGATATTCCTCGTCCACCAAGGAGTCAGACCATATCCCCATCACTGCAAAAGTAACTAAAGAGTAAAAGCAAATGAGGATTCATCTTATCCCTCAATAAATTACAACTGCAATGTAATCTAGTTATATCTTTGTTATTGGAAAAGGGATTAATTATGAGTTAACTGGCTATATTTGTAACTAGTTACTTCCATGCTCTGGGCACCTTAAAAACTAGCATGTTTATTGCAGCCTGATGTTCCAAAGATGATAGAACAGTTCATCAGACACATGAAGTGTTACCCAGCATTTCAGACATCTATAGTAGATGAGGTGAGATGGAACTGTATACTGGGAGACCAGAGGAAGATTAAATGCAGAAAGGGGTGACAGTTACATCACCTTTATTCTAGCAGATTACTCTTATTATTATTACTACTACTAATACTACCACCACTGCAGTCCCAGGGTGCAGCTGGAAAACCCTGGGAAGGGTCTCCGCAAGTCAAAATTGACTTGAGGGCACAGGATTTTTATTATGAGAAAAACAGGAAGCACAAGAAATAAATCAACAGATCAATCCAAATTACGTGCCTACCATCGTATCTGCTCTGTGCCAGAATTGTCACAGTATCACCTTTAGGAATCTCCAACAGGTACAGAACAGCATCCTCTCGGATAATACCTCTGAAGTCTTGATTGTTTACCTGGTACAAAACAATCACATAGTTTTAAATAGTAGATTCAGGGTGTCAAAGAAGGAGCCCTTTTTACTCAAGTCTTTGTGGAAGATACTGTTTCAGCTAACAAATTCCACACATTCTAGTCACTTTTAAGGAAGCAGGAAAATGCCAAGCTTTTTCTCTAACCAACTTGGCACCAACTGTTTTCCTAACAATGGGCATGACCAGCTTGGATCACCACAATTCCCGTCAAAAATTATGCACTACATCTCAGCCAAGGTGTAGATGCATCTGGAGGGCCTTAAAGCCTTATCTCTAGATGGCAGACAAGAGATAGATACCAGGCTAAGAGTTGGTCCAAACCCTGGAAACCTGCTTAGTGCAGTAAAGTCTCAAGTAAACTCAGCCCATTGAATCAGTGAGGATTTGGTAAGTCCTCTGTAAGTTCCACTGAGTCAAATGGGCCTACTCTAATTGCAAGCTTAGTAAATCTGGAGGGCCTTAAAGCCTTATCTCTAGATGGCAGACAAGAGATAGATACCAGGCTAAGAGTTGGTCCAAACCCTGGAAACCTGCTTAGTGCAGTAAAGTCTCAAGTAAACTCAGCCCATTGAATCAGTGAGGATTTGGTAAGTCCTCTGTAAGTTCCACTGATTCAAATGGGCCTACTCTAATTGCAAGTTTAGTAAATCACAACTAGTGTAGGCTTATTTGAATCAATGGAAATTATGGAGGAGTTGGCTTACCAAATCCCCAGTGATTCAGCGGGCCTAAACTAGTGTAACTTGCTATTAGAGATGGGAGTGGTCAGCAGCACAGAGAGATGGGGAAGTGCCGGCCAAGCTACTTCCACTATTGGTGCAGTGTGAGCAACAATGGTCCCAGGTGCTGTACCACAAATAATGAGTGGACCAGACAATTCTTGGGGCGGGGGTCCAAAGGGCTCAGCCACCTGTGATGGCAATATTCATATCCATCTCCCCCAGGAGACGAATACAAATATCCCATCTCTATTTACTATGCTAAGCAACAGGATTTTGGCCAATGTCTAAGAATTCTATGAAAAACATGACATATTTAAGCACTGAGGTGTGACAGGAAAACTACACAAGAATAAAACATCAGCTACAAAGTATAACCAGTCATTCATACAAGCAAGGCAGGTAGAAGTTGGAAGGGAGCGAAAGGGCATTTTCTCTCCAAAATTCTTTCAAAATACATTTCAAGACAACAGTAGGCTGTATCAGTCCATAACCTAGCAAGAAAAATCTAGCAGGGGCAGATTTTGATTACTAACAAAAAAAGTAAAAAAAAATGCTGTCTAAAAATAAGAAAATTATTTTAGGGTAACAGCTTTATTTAAAACCTCTAAGTGTACTTAACACACACTGAATATCAGGCAAATTACAAAGAAACAAAACAAGACAAAAACATGTGGCACCTTAAAGACTAACTATTATATTTAATGTGAGCTTTCATGGACACATCCACTTCGTCAGACATATGGAAACAGAATGAAATGTTGAATGTTTAGTTTCATACTAAATATTGATTGGCTCTTGGAGGTATGTTACATTTATATGCAGTAATTTATGGCTTCTGTTGTTTTAGGGCTCTGATAAGACTGAAGAGGAGAAAAAAAAACATGTTTATTTTGTTGCTCTAGAAATTCTCTAGTGCAGTTGCTGTGACAGTCTCCTGCACCCCTCCCTTGCTCTGCCTAGAGCCAAGAGCCATTTCTTTTTTACATGGGGAGCTTCTGTATGTCACCAAGATTCTTAGGCTCAGCATTACAGGCAGTGCACAGACCTCCTCCTTGATCCACTGAATTCAGTAATATTATAAATGGGATGCAGGATTTCTTGAGTGTAGTAAATGTTTTCTGCTTCAAGATTTGAAAACTCTCAGAAGTAGCAAATACAAGATACAACTAAACCATTGCCTTTCCTCCATTTGTGTCCTCAGGTTGACTGCTAAGAAGCTGTCAGAGAGTATCATCCTCTCAGATTGCTTCAGCAGTTGAATGTAATGAAGAGCCATATACAAATACTTTCCTAGTTATACATCAAGCCCTTTTTTCACTATAGTGTAAAAAAACAGTTTTAAAAAACAGTCCCTTTAGGTTTTCTGCATACGCACCTTAAGGATCTGATCTCCCTCTTGGAGGCCCTCCTGCTCTGCTGAAGTGCCTTCCTGAATCCCAGCAACGAATATTCCTACATCATTTCCACCAGCCAGCCGGATACCCACACTATCTCCTTTCTTGAACTTCACCATCTTTGTACCAGGACTTAAAAGAAAAAAATATATATTTCTGAGTTTTATGTCAGCCATCATTGGGCAGAACCGATTTCTATGATGTGTTCATCATAGGACAGAATGCTGGTTTTCATATAGAAATACATTCAGTCATATTTCATGTGAACACTGAGCTGGCACATTTCCATGTGAAGGCACCATCTCAGGCCCTGAAGCAGCCCTATAATTAGACATCATCTAAGAATAAAATATCTGAGAAATACAGGTACTTTTTAAATTGACAAGTAACTTATATCCTTTGGTAGCTTAACAGTGAAAGATAAAAAACAGCCATAAATCCATTTGTCAGTCCCAGCTTGAAAAAGTCTATTGAATCAATGAAATGTGTTAGGTCAACATGTATATACCGTATTTTTCCATGTATGTGACACACACACACCCATTTTTACCCTTGACGGAGGTGGAGGAGCAGTCAAGGGACAGCAGCGAGAGGTGGCCAAGCACAGCTTCTTCTTTGCCTCAGTCTCCGCCTCCTCCTGCTGCTGCTGCTGCAGTCTCCTCTGGTGCCACTCGCAGGTTCAGCAGCAGGAGGAGGAGGTGGAGACGGAGGCAAAGGAGCAGCCACGCTTGGCCACCTCTCACTGCTGCCCACTGACTGCTGCCAGATCGCCTCCTCCAGCAAGCGTCTCCTTCGAGCAGGGGACAAGGCGTTGACGTGAGCTGGAGGTAAGCCCTGACAGGAGGAGGAGGTGATTGGACAGTGGCGGCAGCAGTCAATGGGTAGCCGCAAGAGACGGCCAAGCATGGCTGCTCCTTTGCCTCAGTCTCTGTCTCCTGCTGTTCCCTTCCATGTATAAAGCGACCCTCAATTTTTCCTCTAATTATTTTAGGAAAAAGTGTCATTTTATACATGGAAAAATACGGTAAAGTTGCATTGATTCAATGGCTGTACTCTAGTTGGCAGAAACTACTGATTTAGCCCACCATTAAAAAGGTAAATCTATACAAATCTAAGTAAACATGAAACTAGCAAGTGAACACCACCAACAATAAACCTCTGATAACAACTACGCAAGCCTCTCTGGGTGGCATTTTATAGCATCGGTACCACTGCTTTAAGGGCTGTCTCTATACTACAGTTTCCTCCAAACTGGTTCACTCCAGAAGTGTTAGAACACAATTCCTTTAATCCTACAGCCACATCTGTAGCTCTACAACACAATTGGGGGGGGAAGAACCACTAGGCTGTGGAAAGCTACTCTAATAGCGATCTCTCCAAGCCTCATTTGGCAGAATGAGAAAAAGATCATGGTTTGCTGGTTCATGTGTGTGGGCAAAAGCAATATTTCAATGTGGAACACCAGTTTAAGCTCCAAGTACATGAAATTTTATCCCAGCCACAAATGCTACTTCTGACATTGCTAAATACTGTACAGGAATAACCCCAAACTATGAACCCACAACTACAAACCCAAATTCTCAGGACATAAGCAGGGGACCCCTATTCAACCTCAATGCTACATTCCTTGATGGACCACCCAGTAGCCACATGCTAAAGGTGATAAGCGCTAAGCCATACATGTATAGCACCCATTGCATACCCAAATTTCTTTCTACTCACACCTGCCCATTCACCCATTATCCCCCAAAGTGACTATGGATTAGAATTTCACAGATGATAATATGGTCTCCGTGTACCTCTCTTGGCAATGTCCATCCCACAGGTCAACTAAGGAAGTTTCCTAAAGCCTGAATAAAACCACTCTTAAGAAGAAAAATCATTCAGGAGGGACAAGAGTTGGCTGCCAACCACCTGCTCAAGGACCCTGCCCAGACAACTACTATAAACCAAGAGCAAGTTGATACTATTAAGTGTCTCTGTGCAATTATATATTTGGATCTATAGTTGCAGAGGAAAGGGCTAGAGAGGAAATAAGTAGAACCCCCAGTAAGCTTGTAATCCTCCCATGGAAAAAAAGAAGGTCATAATAATGGAAAGAGTTTCCAGCTCCTTGTAAACAGAGTCACTTTCTTCCTACCCTCTTTCCACACAATCCTGGGTTTATGTCCATGATAACATAGTGGCTTTTGACATTGTGAACTAGCCTATGTACTAATGAACAATAGTTACCTGCCTTTACAGTTCTAACAAGGAGTATTTCAAAAGTTCACTGCAGACTGGATGCTAACCAATACTGTGTGCAAAATCCCAGTTATGTGTAACAACTCCTATCTTTTATTCTTAGCTAATTATGGTTACTATTTCACCTACACTATCATTTTCATCAAACAGGGTTTGTACCAAACACAAATTTAACAGTTTTTGATATGGAATGTAAAACTGCAATAAAGACCTAATGTAAAGACATAACATCAACTATACAACTTTTAGCGGAAAAAAGGGAGGGAGGAATTTTCATACAAGTGGGGGGGGGAAGCATCCAGTGTCCTAAACAAGATTGTGCTTAGGGCATTCTGAAAAACAAATATGATTCCAAATAATTTCCTTTTCTGTTATATTGACTTTCTAAAGTCTCATACTGATTACTAATTAGAATAATGCAGTTTCTAAAAATATGGCAATAACAAGCAAATTAAAAATACTTACCCATATATTGCTAGATCTTCAGGACTTGGCTCAAGAAAAATTCTTGGTTTTGGTTGAGCAACTGTATATATATATATAAAAAAAACACAAACACGCATACACAATTATAGAAAAATGCTCTGTTTTTGTTTCGTTTTTAAAGCTGAAACCAGAAACTGGCATTAAGATGAAACCATCTACACATAAAGGGCAGGTCAGTTTGTCAGTACTGCACCTTACTCTTAAACCTTATTTAGAAACAATTCCACAGTATTCAATAGGATTTGCTTCTGGTTAAGTATGTTCGGGATCGCAATCTGTATGTTATTACTTAAGCAGCCAGTGCCAGGATGTAAATAAAACTCTGAATGTCAAGTTCTTACAAAGCATACAGCTAGAATATTACCACTCAATAATATATATAATATAATTACAATAGGATTCATCTCTACTGGTAGAAATTTCCTGCTTACCAACTGGCACAGGCTCCTCTCCTCCTCCTCTTTGCTTGTTCAACCAGTCTCCGGCAGGAGCCCAGGCTTCCCTGCCATGCCTCCTTGGCTGATCACCCATTTAGAGAAGGAGGCAGGACAGGCCAACCTGTATTTTTTTGGGGGGGGGGAACTGGTCAAACATCTGAAGATGAGAAAGAAAGGAGAGTGTACCGGCTGGTGAGTGCATCACTGGCATGCGAACCGGCACAAATCTCCGAACGGAAGTTCGTGTCCATCTCTACACTTTATCATTGCAGAAGTCTTGTGTAAAACTTGGTCAGCTTTACTTATCTCCTTCCAAACTTTGGGCTTGTCTTTTGTTTTAAAATCTGAAGGACACCTAACTCATCCTCTATTTAAACAAAATCAGAAAGATAAGGTAGCATGCTCTGGCCAATCGAAACAGTCATAAAGTTCAACCTCCAGTCTATAAAAGTAGCTTACAAATATGATTCATAATGTACCAGGGTAGATGATTAGAAGAACAGTAGGGAAAGGTCTATGTAGGCATCCTTCAGTCTCAAAAGACTATGGTAACATGCTCTGTATGGAGGACTTGGAACAGCATCTAGTGTGGCTGAGGAGGCCAATTCGAGAATGACAATCTCTTCCACACTGAAGACAAATCCAATCTGTCCCCTGTCCAGCTCCCTGGTTTTGATGCTTTTGTGACTTCCTCTTTGCCTTGGCCTGCTGGACAAGGGTCTCTTCAAATTGGGAGAGGCCATGATGCAACACCTGCCTCCAGGCTGAACGCTCAAATGTCAGAGTTTCCCATCTGTTGAGGTCTATTCCTAAGGCCTTCAGATCCCGCTTGCAGATATCCTTGTATCGCAGCTGTGGTCTCCCTCTGGGGCGATTTCCCTGCACTAATTCTCCATACAGGAGATCCTTTGGAATCCGACCATCTTGAAATTAATGGATCAGGTTTTGTAAGTATATGAAGGAGGATTTTTTTAAATATAGCAATTAAAGCTCTATAGAGGAAAGTTGAGTGCTGACCTGGGGGATCCTCATGGTACTTCGGTTCATTCTTGGCCTCTGAAGCAGTGAGGTCACCAGTTGACCTGAAAGGGGTGGGCATGGCACCCATTTTCGACAGCCTGCTAGATGTCTCTTCTTTTACACTGAAACCAAATTCACAAAGGTCAGAGAAAGTGAACATCTGTGCCTGATGAAGAATGATGGAAGGCTCTCAGGCTTACCTTGTCTCTAACTTTCTAGTACATAAAAAAGGTTACCCATTTTGTACTGTAGTTTCTACCAACATTCCCTCTAATTTACAGGCTTGCTAGGTGGGGTTCTACCCCTCACACGTGCAACACTGCCCCCACGTAGTGTTCCATCACAACTGGAGCCAAAGAGGCTGAAAACGATTGCTGTGGGTGTGCAGAGGAGGAGGAGCCCTGCACAGAGGAGGGCTGAGGTGAGCGCATGTGCAGAGGTGCACACCCCTTAGAGGAAACCTTGGTTCCTACCCATAGATCACATGGCTACTTTGTTTTTTTTTAACACAGCCTACCTTGATTTTTCCTTTAACCGTTCATTGGAGGAATGAGAATCTAAATCAGAATGATGCAGTCTTCTCTCATCCTGAGGGGAGCAAGACCTGTTTGACTCTATTTCTGAAATATCTGTTGAAAGAGCACAGCATAAAGTCTAGATAGGCAAAAAAGTAGGGTTATTGCTACTGGTTCTAATATTTCTATTTTTATTTTCTATTTTATGAGTTGTAACCTACCCAGAGTACTGTTGTGACATTAATGAAAGCAGGATACAAATTGAATAAATAAAAAAATACAGTAGTGCCCCGCTTGACGATGATAATCCATTCCAGGAAAATCGCTGTTAAGCGAAATCATCGTCAAGTGAAAAAAACCCATTGGAATGCACCGAAAAACGGTTAATGCGTTCCAATGCGGAAATACCTCATCATCCAGCAAAGATTGCCCATAGAGAACCGCCGGTTAGCTGTTTAAAATAGCTGTTTTCTGAAGCAGGGATTTGGAAAACAGCCATTTTGTGAAGGGAGGGAAGCCATTTTGCAAAGGGAAGCCATTTTGAAGAGCCGGAAAAAACATCGTTTTGCGAACAAACAGTTCGCGAAGCAGGGACCTAATCAACATAAAGCAAAAAAAAACCCCATAGGAATCATCATTTTGCGATCACAATAGCGATCGCAAAAAACTCATCGTCAAGAGATTTCGTCGTCAAGCGGGGCACCACTGTACATGATTCTAATGTACATTGGCTTTCACATCTTTCTTCTAATCTTTATGACAGCTTTGACTAAGCACATATAAAACAGAAAAATAAGATGTTAGGACTTTATTCCCATCAGAAAAGTGGGGTCTCTCCAGGCAGCACCTGGTTCATAAAAGGATATCTAGAAGCTTCATATGAGGATGGTCAACTTAAGGCAGGCATTTCCTTGCTTCTTCAGGAAAGCTATAACTCAGCAAGCCTTGTTCAGACTAAGGTTCTGCAAGAGAATGGCAGCTTCCAACCATTAAGTTGGCAATGTTTAGGCCCACCAAGTCTGTTACTACCTAGCATCACGGAAACTACTGAGGTGACTCTGCTTCCAGAGCAGAGGGCAAACACCATGGGAAATATCCAGCCTACCCTGTTCCTACTACTTGAGCAGCAAGACACTACAGTGGTACCTCGATTTAAGAACTTAATCCGTATTGGGACTGCATTCTTAAATCAAAACTTTCTTAAGTCGAAGCACCATTTCCCATAGGAATGCACTGAAAACCAATCAATGTGTACCGAGGGATGAAAAAAAGCAAAAAATCAGGGGGATTTTTTTGTCTTTGGAGGTCTCAAAGGGCTTCCTCCAATGTCGGGGGAAAGCCCTTGGAGACCTCCAAAGGCACCGATCGCTCCGTTCGCAAAAATTGGCATTGACTTGTGAACGGAGCCTCGACCTCTGAAGGCAAAAATTTGAGTTTCCCACCCTTTTTCCCTGCCTTTTTTCATTTGTAGGTCGAGGCTCCGTTCTCAAATTGATGCCAATTTTTGCGAATGGAGCCGTTTGTAAGTCGAAATGTTCATTGGTAGGGACGTCTGTAAGTCAAGGTCCTACTATATGAGCAATGCATCAGCTCCCACACCAAGACTGATACCTTATGACTAGGGGGGGAGGATTTCTATGGCATTTCACATTTTCTCTGCAACCTACATTTGAACCTATAAGCAAATTTAAACATGTTTATGAGTAATCTGGCCTTTCTCATCAGATTACTCATGAACATGTTCAAATCCACCCATAAACTCACACATAGGTTGCAGAAAATATATGGTATGTCATAAAAATCCTCCCCCTGCTTATGGCTATTCTAACCCATGAACAAGAACAGGCAGGTCACAAGTGGGAAAGGAAGGGGAAACATCCCTGTCTGCTTTAAGTCAGAGGTGGAAAGCAACTGGCCTGAAGGGTGCCTGAAGCCCACTTTGTGAGCTCTAGGTCCCTTTCTGTATTCTCCAACAATATAATGTACAGTTCTCTCTCAACATCCATCCCTGTATCCATCTATATCTGAGCTGAAAAGGGACTGCACCTCCAGAAACTCTCCAGGAACAGAAATTTCAAAAGAGTCCCTTCTGTATCTTCTTTCACCCCAATACAAAACAGGAGGATTGCAAAACTGAAAGTGGAGTTCCAACCATTTCTAGGTTTTGCGTTTTGTTGTTGTTTTTAGCATGCTGCAGAATACATAAAGTCCCAGGGTGGAAAACTGTGCAGGACCCCCTAGAGACTCTGTGAAGTCAACAATGGAATCAGATGCTGGCTTAATACCTTTAATATCACAACAAAGTCCCCCCTTTTTAAACTTGAAAGGTCCCTCTGACTTAAGCACACCCTGCCAAGGCCAGTGCCCAAGGGGAGGCAACAGGCAAAGAATGAGTCTGGTGCTCATTCCTGATTTCAGAAACCAGATCTATAAAGCTGGGAATGCTAGCACCGATGTTGCCGATGGGCTGCTTGCTCTGTGAACTGGTATTTTCTTTCCTTTTAAAAAATCACTTCAGAGATGGCCTTACAGGAAAGCAACATAGATAGAAATAGCTATTAATGGGAAGCCTGCATGTGTTTTGAGGTACTCTCCTTTCCAGCCAGTCTGGAAGTACAGTATGAGGGTTGAAAAACACTGAAAAGAAAGCCAGTATGAAAAGGCATGTCCTCTGGCTAATTGTTGTCCCATGTTGGCCCTGCCTCAGAAACCTGGATACATGTCAAACCAGTTAAAACAGGAAGAATCTGAAAAAACTGCACTAGCAACCACCTATACATTTTACACTTTCCTTTTCCATCTAGTTGCATTTGTTCAGTTTATCATACCATACTAAGAAAATAAGCAGTCCACTTTGAAAAATCTAAATAGAAAATAGGTTTTATTGTTCTTTTAACCTCTCACCTTCTATTTCTGATTCGCTATCATGCATGGAAGGAATGTTGATCAGGGTTTGTTTTCTGTCCCTCAGGACGACCAACTGGAGTTTTCCTCTTGATTTCTCAATCAGCTTTCTGGCATCAGATAAGGACATATTCTCTGTCACTGTACCATTAATCTGAATGGGCAAGATAAAGGTATATACTTGTAAACAGCTTTGAAGTGATCTATCAGTTCCAAGAGTTTCCATCCAGAACCTACATTTTTCCAGTGCCATAAAAAAATTAAGGGCCCTTCATACAAAGAACTTACTTTGAGAATGATGTCTCCTTCATGTAAATTGCCATCTTTTGTTGCCAATCCAGTGCTGGTCATTTCTTTGATGAAAATCTGACTTCCAAGCCGAAGACCATATTCTGCAAATGGCATAACAGTTAAAGAGATAGTTCTGTGGTTTGGAAGATGAGGCATGCTGAATAGTGATTTCTTCCCTCCCAACACTTTTTAAAAGGAGCCATCACTTGGTCATAAAATTCAACAGCTTAAGATCTGCTACCATTTAAAAACAAAAACAAAACAATAAGATCACCAAAAGCTGCCTTATACTGTACTCCCCTATACTGAGATTGTCTTATCTAGCAATGCCAACAGGAGATGTCCCTGGTTTCACTCAGGATTCTTCCTTAGCCCTACCCGAAGCTTCTTGGGGGTCTGAACTAACCAAGAGCTGACACAGCTTGGCTACCAAAATCACAGGTACAGCAGGTGTTCAAGGGTGGTATGGCGATAAGATTTTAGCCCAGCATCATGGGCCGCAAATAGTCTCAAAAGTTGTTTTTGCAGCATCTTTCCCTTGAAACAATACCAGTGGGGTCTTGACTTAAGAACGGCTCGAGTTAAGAACATTTTGACTTAAGAACCGCTCTCATAGGAAAATATTGACTTGACTTAAGTACATAGATTTGAGTTAAGAACTGAAAAAAAAACCACGTGGGAGGCAGGGAAAGTGCAAAATCTGAACTTTCAGTTAACTGTTGGCCAGTGAAAAGGGTGCCTGTCTGCTTCCTCACTCCTCCCAGCGTTTAGAGAGTGGATTGGGAGACAGTCTTCGGACTGCCTGGTACTTGTACTGCCTGGACTGTATTTTCCCTGCCTTCCCTGAACCTTTCTTGACCTAAGAAAAAAAGAAACAAAATATTCCCCCTCTAGTGGTCGAAGGCAGAATAGCAGCTTCCCATTAGTTTCTATGGACGGAAAAGAGCAGATACGGATCAAATGGTTTTCAATGCATTCCTATGGGAAATGCAGATTTGACTTGAGAACCGCCTTCCAATACGGATTAAGTTCTCAAGTCAAGACCCCACTGTATCACCATAGTTTAGTGGCAAATAGTGTTATTAAATTTAGGTGACAAAGTAGAAAAAGCAATGGTCCCAGGAAATGTTCATTTTTAAAGGGATTTTCAAGGCTTCTTAGCAAATTCCCACAATGGCACCGGAGTGAAACTGCCCTGTTGGAGGGTTGAAGGGAGAATGGCACCCCAAACCTACAGAAGTTGAACACCCCTCTTGTTTGAATATGTAAGCAATGCCTGATGAAATCTCAAAGAAACACAAAGCTCAATAGGTTTCCTAGCGGCCAATTAATGGAGTTCAGTATTCAAAACACGGTTTCCTCAATTGCGATCCAAGCAGAATGAACAGTGTAACTCAGGAAATACTGAAGTGCTCACAATGGGCACCATTTATACAACATGCTGAGTCCCATTTTTCTGATTTCAGAATTTGGAGTACTATAGCACAGAATTGCTGAGGGTTGTTAAGCTCCAAGCACACACAGTTTGTTACTACTAAGCACATATCACATGTCCTTATAGCTTTTTATATATGTGCAATAATATTATTAGTTTACAGTATATTTGTAAGATGCCCAAGGAATTTGTCTGTTGCTTACTTCTCTGTCTTTCTGTATATGATATATTTTCCCTTTCACAAAGGGGGGGGGAGACTGCAAAATGCCAACCAACCCATGACTTTCAGTGACTGTGTGATCCTGAGAGCAGGAAATAAAGAACAGGGGATTGGGGGGGGGGAATTCATTCATCTTCAGAGCAGAAAAGTTTAAACACTTGCCTTCATTTGATCTGTTTTTTGTGAGGAGAACATTAACCGGCCCATTTGGGTCTTGATGTGGTCCATACTCATACTGGCGCGGTAGTTCAGGTGAGGGACTGCGGGAATTAAGTCTGCCTCTGCTACCACTCTTCGCTCCCTTCTCATACGGAGGGTCAGGACGGGATCGCCAGTCATAATCTCTTGGCAGGCTCCTACCACCACTGTAACCATGGTCGTAGGCGTCATCTCTATCAACACTCCTGCCTCTGCTTCGGGGCCTTCGATATTCACGGTCCAAACTCCTGTCTCGATCCATGCTGCGGCCGCGACTCCGATCCCGACTGTAGGCACGCTCTCTGCTGTGGTTGCGTCCCCGATCCTGAGCAACTCTGTAGCCCCTATCGAGGCTGTCTCCCCAGCTCTGGCTACGACCCTCGTTTCCACTACGCCAACTCCTTTCACTGTAGCCACTTCGTGCACTTCGGCCATCCAGCTCTGCGCGGTCGTCCATGACATCGAAGGCTCTGTACTCATAGTCAAGTGAGGGGCTTCTCCTAACAGCCGGGAGCTGCACTTTACGAGGTCTCTTCACTACCTATTTGCAAGACATGAGAACACTTTTGCATTTCTTTATTTAAACAATTAATATTATATATTCCCTTTTCCAAGCAACCACCCTCAAGCTACATTTATATGCTACAACACTACATGGCCCTTTGCCACATTGGTCTTCTTCACACCCAGTGAAACCACAAGCCCCTGGCACAATAAAGCCATGCCCATATGAATCTGCCTTCCCAATGGGTACCTTTTAAACACAGAATCAGTTACTCAGGCTAAGTGGTTTTACAGGGCAGCATCATTTCTAAGTCGGCCTTCCCTCTACACCCTACTCCTTTCTTTTTAAATATTGTATTTTTGTCTCTTGGGAAAACAATCTGTTCTTATTGTGAGATGGTTATTCTCCTTTAAGGCTGCAAACTGAAAACTTTAAAGGAGTCAAACGTTTACAGAAGGTAAATGTTTCTAAACTCCTTCAAATCTCCTTTTTTTAAAAAAAGGCATGTTTTCTGAAACATTTACCAATACATGCATATCCTAGTCTCAGTATAGATCAGTGGGCAGGAGCTCCTGTCTGCAGACCTGAACACCAGACGTCACCTAGAAGAGACTCCCACTGTGCTACCCAGAAGAAGGGTCAGCCCAGAGCATGTGTGACCGATAGGTTTAGGCCTTTCTTACAGCCATACTTTGATGCAGCTCCAATTTGTATTTCTGGAACTAAAGGTGGCCACTAAAAGATTTATTAAACCCTCCTTCCTTCTTCTGTGGCACATAGTCTCATGGGTCCTTCACAGTTCTGCTACCCAGAAGCAGACCAGACACTCAGCTTGGGATCTACTACATATAACATATATGGCCAACTACTGAGCAGAGACTCTTTTCTGTTGTTACAGGAGAGCAGAAGAGCTTGTGGGAATCTCTGTGTAGTCCCATTCCTTGGGCATAATCTGTCTGTGCAAATTAAGCCTGTGTAAAATGATGACATCGTTGACAGGGGAGATTAGTTATGCAACAGGATTGGGCCCTTATGGTGTGTCTCCTGCAGAGGTGGGGAATATATGGCTCTTTACATGTTGTACTACAACTCCCATCAACTTAGATGAGCCAGTCAACAGCAAATGATCATGGCAGAAATTTTGTAGAAATAACTGGAGAGGCACATGTCCCACAATGTTGCCTGCCGTACTGTCAGGCCGAGTGAGCTAGGCATCTCAGACAGTAGATTTTGAGTACTACTTTAAGTATTAATGCAGCATTTGCCCTATGAGAAGTTCATGCTTCCCCTTAACCCCTACCCAAAGCAGTGGTTCCCAATCTTGGGTCCCCAGATTTTCTTGGACTAAAACTCCCAGAAGCCTTCACCACTAGCTGTGCTGGCCAGGATTTCTGGGACTTGTAATCCCAGAACATCTGAGGACCCAAGGTCAGGAACCACTAGTTTAAAGCAAGTAACAGTGAACTTACAATGACAGCCACTTTCCCACTTTTCCTTAACTGCTGCACAGCAAAAGAATGGGGCACATTTTCCATGGGAGTGCCATTAACCATGACCACTCTGTCGTTCTCTCTGGAAACAGAAGCAGATTCCCAATTGGGCATTAATTTCATTTTAGTTAAAAACAGTGTCTCAGTTCATTTCTACCACAGACACAGTGATTGTGTAAGGCAGGATCCCCACAAAATATAACAGTCTTATTACCTACTCCATTCCCAGTGGCCACTTTGTCAGTACAAAAACATTTAGGGGAAGGACCATGCAATTCATCCCAGCTTTATATTGCTGGTGCTGCTGCTTTTGCTCCAAAACACTCAGTTCAGTCTCACAAAGGCTGCTGGATGGAAGTTCTGTCCCCTCCCAAAAAACATTATTGCTCACACATTATCCTTGGGAGACTGAAGGCAACATTTTCCCCCAGTAATGATACTATCCCTATCAAATGTGCGGGGGTGGGGTGCAGTAGAAACTCATTGCTGTTGTGCGAATAGTTGTCTTGGAATCTAACTGAGAAACCTCCTGACTATCTCCAGAAGAGCCGCTCTATGCATTGACTGAGTTCACTTACTCCTTTCTCCAGACACCTTCCCCCCCAGTTGAGGAATTTAGGAGACAGCAAAGTGAGCTCCCTTGCCAAAGCATCACCTGTAAAAGCCCCAGACAGCACTTGGGCTGGGGAGCCAGTGATGTGAGAATGTGTGGCTACCCCCCAATGGTGGGGAGACAGCCAGGGTCACAGGGGTCATGCCGTCCAGGGCACAAACAGCCCATAATCTCAGAATGGGTCTCCAATTCTTCAGTAAGCCATGAAAGGGACATTTTAGTAGCTCATTGTTGCTTATGGATTTCATATGTCTTGTTACTGAAACTAGTGTGCCTTGAGTATCTGTGTCTTGTAGCAGATACCCCAATATGCAAGGTCCACGTGGCATTTTCCTGTACTCTTCCCTGAAGCAGATGTTCCTGTTCAGATTCATCCTGCTGCTGAGCAGAGACTTCAGTCAAATGTGAGTGCTCTGACCACTAGAGTGTTCAGACAGATCAGCTGTATCCTTACAGATAAAATATGGCAGGGTCAAATATCAACAGTCCAATGTGTGCCTTCATGAAAATCTACACTTAGAAATACATTTGTCTTTCCAAATCAACTGCTTGCAAAATGAGAGAGCACGTGCGCACAGGCACCTGATGAAAGCAAGCCCACTTACTGGAGCAATCCATCTGCTGGGCCACCTGCAAGGACATCTGAGATAACAATGGATGTTTCGCCATTTTCAAAATGTGGGTTATCTTTGCCACCAGAAACTGCAATACCAAAGCCTCGCTTTGAATAAAGAAAGAAAGAAAGAAAGAAAGAAAGAAAGAAAGAAAGAAAGAAAGAAAGAAAGAAAGAAAGAAAGAATGAATCGGTGGAAGGAAGGAAGGAAGGACCACAACACTTTTTAGCTAACAAGCAGAACAGACTTTGTATAATACTTTGCTTTGTAAGTTTACATTAAAACAAACTGATCTTAATTACAATCTATGCTTCAAACCAGTGCTTCCCAACCTTGGGTCCCCAGATATTCTCGGACTAAAACTCCCAGAAGCCTTCACCATTAGCTGTGCTGGTCAAAGTTTCTGTTAGTTGTAGTCCAAAAACACCTGGGAAGTCAAGGTTTTAAACTCTGTTTAAAGGAAGGCTTTTGCCCAAAAAGTGACACATAAAGGTTTGACAAATAAACATATTCTTCTGTAGATGTTTGTGTGACATATTATATGCTGATCACAAGGCGCCAACTGGGCAGATTTGGACATTGGCTGCTGCTTAAGAGCAAAATCTAAAATATATCTATACAGAAATCAGTCCAATCGATTTCAGTTGGGCTTATCCTTAGCTAAGTCTATATAGGAATGTAATCTAAGCAGTTTCTGTTCCTGGCACACACACCTGCCCCCCCCCAAAAAAAACAGTAACTAGTAATGATTGTTGTTGTTGTTCCAGGCTGTCAAGTCACCTCTGATCTCCAAAATGCCCTGCCCTTAACAACTCTGCTCAGCTCTTATAAACTCAAGCTTGTATCTTCCTTGATGAAGGCAATCCATCTCATATTTGGTCTTCCTCTTTTTCTGCTGCCTCCAACTTTTCCCAGCATTACTGTCCTTTTCAGCAAATCTTTCCTTCTCATGATGTCTCAAAGTATTATGACAGGTTCAATTTTGTCATTTTCACATCCAGAGATAGTTAAGGATAGATATGCATGCTAATGGATAAATATTTAGTATTTGCAAAACTCTTCCCTGACTAACTATATAGAGCGTCATTGTTTCTTTCTGATGATTCAACATGAAAAATCGAGCTTTCTTGGTTGTGGCCCCTTCCCACTGGAACAAGCTTCCTCCAGAGGTTCACCAGGCACTATCCCTCTCTATTTTTAGGAAACTAATTAAACTAAATTATGCAAAGATGTCTTCTACTAACGTAAATTTGTCCTGAGAGGTCCAAATGGTTTCAATTCGTGTATTTTCTTTAAAAGTAGTTTAATTATGACATGGTTCAATTGTATTTTGCTGTATTTTTTGTCTTTATTATACAGTGTTTTGCTTTGTTTTACTGCATATTGTAAACCTCCCAGAGAGTGGCAACACTAAGGGGGCGGTATATAAATGGGAATAAATATATACATCTGAAATATCCAGGCAGGATTGCATGGAAAGTTGGAGGTACCATCGAGAGGCAGATGGCCTTCTCTTCTTTCCACCCAGATATGAGTGAAGTCATGGTGACTGGAATATCTTTTACCATATGTGAAAGGAGAAGGAAAAAGTGAAGGAGCAGAACATACATCAGCAGGGGAGAACTGAGCCACCTGCTTAGCTTTTAGATGCACAATTTCAGGTTGCACTTATTGCAAATTATGGCAAATGCTCATTCTCCACACTTTTCTCTCTCTATTACCAAGAAAGGCTGGGGCATATTACTTGGACTTCACAACTGATTTTATAGCCAGGCAGTATGGGAGGCTCGCATTGCTGGCTACTGGAAACTGTAACCGTTCCAGAAGATATGGAAGTATGGAATACATATGGTCAAAAGAAAACATGTTTGCTACATCCAGATTTTAAGAAGTTAGTGTTGTTATTGTTTCTGCATATTTCAAGCCCCAAAAAATAACTGTTGTGGTCTGGATATCAGCAGCTACTATTTTGGTTTAGACTTTTAAAAATATACCTTTTCTACAAAACACACTGAGTTAGTCCATCCAGCCCAATATTGTTTCCACTGTTTAACAGTTTTCTGGGACTCAGTGGCTTCCATCCTCAGCTTTGTTTCCTAACTTCCTTTTAATGGGAATTACCAAGGATTGAGTTTTGGAGCCTCTGGTTGCAAAACCCAGCCATGAAGGACCATATCCTCCCTAGATATCTTCCCACTCTGAGAGAGAATTATGTGTTTCATACTATTGTTACAGTGTTTGTATTGGCTTCCTAAGAATTCTCTAATCCAATACACAGCACTTGATTTTCATCCCCCCTCGCCCCCTATCTCCCATCAAGAAGCTGGATTCTATGACTCCAAGGGAATGGCACCTCCTACAAATTGTTTCTCCCCACTCATTATTAAAATCTGGGATAGAAACATCCAGTGTATCAGTGTTCGCACTTATAACGGACATCTGTTCTATTATCATACATGACTAGGGTCTCAAGAAGTCTGATATTACCTCTGAAATTTTAGTAAGGTGTCATAATTGTTCTCAGTGTAAATAGACTGTTAACATAAAAAACAACATTTAAAAGCAGAGAAGGTACATGTTCTAAAATAGTTTGTCAGTGTTCTCCTCCTTCTGATCTCTTTCCCCAGCTGGAAATTTAAGATTGCACCCTCCCTGCTAACAAGGCTAACTCTGATGGGTCATGGAGATGAAATCCAGTGTGTCTGGAGGGAACTGCAGTTTGGAAAGGCTGGATTAAGTGCTCTAATTATGAGGCTTAAAAGTGTTTTTGCAATGGAAAGGCGAAAGACCAAAGAATGGGTTGGGTTTGTCGATACAGTATCAGTGGTACATGCACAAAAGCTATTAGAAAACTAGACCATAAATAATCACTAACCTTTTGTAAGGTCACTGTGTACTGCTCCCATACTAGCTCTTCCATGCCTGGGGCCTGTTACACAATGAAAAACATCAATGAAACATCAGAAAGAAAACCAATTTGAGGGGGATGGGAATAAGGGCACATTTCAAGATCAGTATCAGAAAGAATATTTTTCCTGTTGCTTTAACAGTGCATTTTACATTTACATTAATTAGCAATACCATAAAAAGAAGACATTTTAAAAAGCAAAATTTAATAGCTTCAGTATTTACTGAACATATTTTAGTAACAAACCAAAGGTAAGGGTGAGTGATATATTTCATGAGACCACTAAAAAAATCACAAATATATGTTTGTGATGTTTTATTAGTCTAATAAAGGTATCCTTCTCCCTTGCTTTCAGATCACATAAAAGGACCACACTGATTTTTTCGTTTTTAATAGCAAACTACTGTGCCTCACACTGAGATCTCGCACATTTGTTCCTTCCTCTTTTTTTGCTGAAAAAGGGACCAGTTCTCAGAAGTAGCAGAACACATCTTTTCTGTGTATATTATGTTGAATACGAACCAAAATAAAACATTTAATCAAACAACAGATCTGACGTAGCACACTCACTGTCCCTTCCAGAACCTGAATGAACACATAAAACAAAACCAGAGCTTGGGAAAAAGTTTGAATTTTGAAAATTGAATTTGGACCTTGGATCGAGAGAGGATGCCCACCATTGCTTTAGTATATCCTGAGACTTCATTGTATAAAGATAACCATCACTACACTGAATTATATCCAGATATGAACCAGAAGTCAGTACATATAGTATGTTCAAGGACTAACACACTTCCAATAATGAACACTTGAATAAAGTCTGTCTGCAACATTACCTGTAGCTCTCAAACATTTTTCAGAAGGAGTCCTGTATACAGAATATATATATACTGTATATGTAATGACTTATTTTGTCATATATTCAACATGACCCTGATGCATGATTCCATGGGATATACCATGCAGGACAATGAATCAGCTTAATTCTAATTCATCTTTCATTTTTTTCTGATTATCGGAAGATTAAACTACAGACAAAGTTCCGTATTCTGATTTTGATTTCTTAACAGACACTTGTGGAGGTGACGGTTACAGCTTTGAGAGGAATTCTGCTAACGGGAATTTCCTTGAACCACTCCTAGGCAAACATGGAATGAATTTATGGGGGTAAGTCATAGAGGGGGAGAAGATTTCCACATAGTGCTATCCACCCACTCTAAAAAAGCACCCTATTACTTTTGCAGAAAATGAAGGGAGGAGGCAGAGTCAAGACTCCACAATATACAATGTTGTTCTGACATATCTGCTTTCAATGGTGCTGGAACAGTCGAAGGAGGTCTGCACGAAACTTTCAAAGAGGAAAGACACACTTTGAACTACTTGGACAGAGTCTGAAGTACCAGCAAAATATGAAATAACAGCACAAAATGCATTTGTTGAGATTACCCCACCTCATATGGACTATGTGGTGTTTACATATATTATGTACCCTGTTTCCCCGAAAATAAGACCTAACCTGAAAATAAGCCCTAGTATGATTTTTCAGAATGCTCGTAATGTAAGCCAAAATAAGCCCCACTTAAGTGAAACCCTGCCCTCCACCCTTGTGCAGCAACCAGAAGATGAGATGACAGCATTTGAATAAATGTAGATTGCTGTACATGACAAAAATAAAACATCCCCTGAAAATAAGCCCTAATGCGTTTTTTGGAGTAAAAGTTAATATAACAACCTGTCTTATTTTTGGGGAAACAGGGTATGTGTATGTAAATAAACCACACACATAGATTACTTCTATTTTGATTATGAAAAATGGAGGAGAGTTGACTTTAGAATTAACTGGGCATGTTTTATGCATCTTCACAGAGTCACAGCAGGTGAAAATTAGAACCAAAATGCATTAGGATTAGAATAATTTGCTTGGTTGAATTTTACAGTTAATTAAATAATTTGTCATTTGGCTCTAAATTGTTCTTTGCATTGATCTCCTTCCTTTCCCCAGTACAGGCAAATATATCGTGTTCTACACCAGCCATTCTCATGGGGGATGTGCCCCCCCCGGGGGGACCCTGACACATTTGAAGGGAGCCACAAACTGGAAACATTTCTTCACAAATCACCTTATAAGGTTCATTCTTTGACTTATACAATCCTGATTTCTTTCATATTGTGTTTATCCACACTACAGGAAACTACAGGAAAATATTTCTACTCATACATAATTACTGAAGGACCTGAGAAGTGCAAATAAATTAACAGCAAATCACAAATTATTCCACAATTTGAAGTTTACTGACTTGCACATCAAGGAGTTGGCAGAATGCCAAATTGTTACAAACGAAACAAACTGTTTGACTTTTGCAATCTGGAATTACGAAGCTAAAAGGAACCAGTTCATGAGGTCACATCGTGTAGGACAGAGCGTACAGGACTGATGAAGTACTGGAAGTTCACCTTGGGAGTTCGCTGGGCACAAAAGCCATCTGCCCTGTTCTAAATCTCTAACTCATAATCTCTTTAACATTATAAAATTTACAGCTGTTTGCTGTTGCAGAGATACTAACCACTGCTGACAGATTAATGGAAGGAGCAAAATGAGCGTGGGGGCTGGGTAAGACCACAGATGTTATAAGTCACCATCTGAAGACTGCCTACCCGAGAGAAGATTAAATCCTCAGTCACAACAAGCACAAAATTCTAGCTATATTAGGAGCCAGTAAACCTAAGGCAGATAATGATGAACTGGTATTGCAAATGCACCAAGAGAGAGATTTGCAACCACGTTTTCCCTCTGAAATTAGCATACCATTTTGGGGAAATGCACAATGATAATATGAGCACATTTGCACTGCTTCACAATTAAAACAAGTGAAGAGGCTTCAAATTCATTCAGCAAATTGTATCAAGCCAATAATCCTCATTGTATTAACAATCACCATCTTATAATTACTTGTAATCAAAATACTGACTTAATTATTCGTATGCCAGTGATACCCAAAGTGGTATGAACAAATTCCCCACAAGCATCTGACAAGCATCAGAAGTCAGAACCCTTAACTATTTTACACTAAACAGATGATGGCAAAGTCACTTACACTGCTGTACAATAATCCAGGCTTGTTAATCAGTTCTAAATACAAAATCATGGCCTGAAGAGGGGACAAGGAAGTCTATTAAGATATGTACACTTTTATATATTAAAAATTGAACTCACGTGCCATTTTAAAATCCTCAACTTTTTCACAGCGTGCAGCCACATCCGCTGTAGAGCCTGAGCTGTCTTCATTGTGGCAGTCTCTAATCTGTTAAGGGACTCTGAACATCCCAGTCTTTTCATCAGTTTCTACCACTCAAACATTGTTATGTAATTCTAATACAATAGTGCCCTACATACTCGGCCAATCCTGCCATCATTTCACATGGTAACCTTTAAAAGCCCCAAACTTGCACCAATGAGAACATACCCTCTTCCTAAACCATTGTCACTTTTCCTAACTGGAAAATAATCCAGGGAATAATTTTAAATTCCTATTTAAATAACTTCCGGATGTTTGCCACTAGGCAGGCATCAAAGTATAGCATCTTCTTCCACTCCAGAAAGGAAAATGCAGCCCTTTCTGAACTGGGACCATAAGAGAAGCAGAAAACAAAAAATTGGAAGCCATCATTTAGGACACCAACGTTGTAAACTGGGCAATATACTCAAAAAGTTACCTTTTGGGGGGGACTACAATTCCCAGATACATCAACGCCAGGAATTCAGGGAAGATGTAGTTCAGAAAAATAACTTTTCCCTACTTTGGCCACAATAGTATTTAGCATGCTTCCAAGTACTGTTACAAAGCAAGGAGATGGGGACAATCTACACAGTATTTAGCATGCTTCCAAGTACTGTTACAAAGCAAGGAGATGGGGACAATCTACTGTACAAATTTAGATGACTGCTTCCCCTATATTGCTAATGAATCCCATACTAAACTCATGGAATTTGCTTCTCAGTTAAGTTCATGGGGGCGACCTATTCCACCTCGTCTGACTTTCCGTCATCAGTATGAATGTGGACTGGGGTTGCCTCTCTTTTATTTTGTGTTAGGTAAGCCTTCCTCTCCTGATCTTCATCTCTCACCAACAGGCTGCTTGGCCCACTCAACGGGAGAGTGAGCCTGCAACTCAACAGCACCATCTCCTGGCTGTCAAAGCAATACCAAACTCTTTCTGAAACATCCCTCAGGGTTTGTACAGAACACCTTGGCTCACGCCTGTCAATCCAACAAGGTAGGGAGAATATACAAAGTCACATGGGGAGATGCAAGAGAGGCCAACAGCTGAGTCACAGCCAAAGGATATCACATGTGCCTTTCCCTAGTCAAGCTCATGCCTAAGGAATCTGAAGAGTCATCAATCACAAGAATTTGCAAAGACATTTGCAGTTTCTATCAGGGGGATTTCTCAGTTTCTAAAAATTCTTTCTCACAGGAACTCACATGTAATACTCTGCGAATCACTTGTTCCTATAAAGCCACTGTATGGGGTATAGTTAAGACAGCAGGACAGAAGAAGATGATATGATCGCTCTCTTCAAAGTTTGAAGAACTCTTGTGTGAAAGACAGATAAACCTTATTTTCTGCTGCCCCAAAAGGCAGGACCTGAACTAATGGACCTAAATGATAAAAAAGGAGACTTCAGCTAAACATTGGGAGGCACTTTCAGATAGTAAGCACTGCTCAGCCGAGGAGTGCTGGAAGTTTTTAAACAGAGATTGGGTTACCATCCATCAGTGAAGCTCTGGCTACAGATTTTATGCATCATCAGGGAAAGGGTCTAGATCGGGGTCCTCAAAATAGGGCCCACGAGCAACATCCGGCCCGCCATGCTGTACTACCCGGCCTGCCAGCTCCTCCTCCACCCTTCGGAGCCGGGGGGGGGATTGCTAGAGAGGGGAAAACCTCCACTCCACCCATCGGAGCTGGGGGGGGGGACTGCTAGAGAGGGGGGAAGCCTGACATAAGCCATCACCCGA